GGCTTGTAGAATACCACAATGACTAGGTTTTGGTTTCGACCTTTACTGCTAAAACTTCCACTACATTTTTTGAGGCATTTAGCAGTTGTGTGCAAACAAGTGACTCTGCAATGTACAGGCCAACCCCCCCCCCTTTTGCCTGTTCACTCTGTCACATCTGTATAGGTTGTAACCTGGGATCCTTTTCGTTGTCTAAGTGATCCTTTATGTGGGTCTCAGTGAAAGCCGCGAACATTGCCTTTGCCTCTGCAAGCAGTCCACGGAATGAAAGGTATTTTGTTTTTTGTTGCTGGCTTTAGACCCTGTATATTTGCAAAAAAAGAATGTCATCGGACGGGTGGTATTGTTGGTACTGGGGGGGATTTTTTTTTCCGGCATTAGTATCTGTATCTGTTGGTTTGGAGTGGAGGCCATGACTGTGGTTCCACTCCAGGAATGACTGGATTTGGTGTACGATTTCTGCCATTTCCTGCCAGTTTTTTTTCCTTCCTGGCACTAAAAAACCTCTCCCTTCTTGAGTGGCTGTGGCTACCCAGGTTTTCCCCATGGCCTGGATGTTTGTATCTTTTTGTACCCTTTAGAGGGGTTTGTCCCTGGCAATTTAAGTTATAGCACAGTCTTTCCTGTACTGAAGAGGTACACATTTCAGGGTGAAAAAGCTTACAGAGGGAGTTTGCATTTTCCTGTTGTCATAGGGGCAGGGCATTTTCTAGGGTGGTCATAGTTTGCACGTCCCGTCTGTTTCTCCAGATTTCCCATGTCTGCAGATACCAAGTGCATGTATGTGCACAGGTTTGGGTTTTCCCGTTTGCCTTTGGTTTCTGTGACTGTATTTCCTGTTGGGAAATGTTTCCCTGTCTTATTCCTATCCTCCCTAGCCCCAAACAATGGAGCTCCCACCAGTTGTTTTTGGTAATATATCCTCATTATAGCTAGTGGAGTCCTCTTGTTTGCTATTTCCTGTGGTATTTCTAGTTTGCAATATTGGCTTTTCTTTATCTTTGACTACACTTTTTTCCCCCACTACGGCTCCTTCCCTATGAGGTCTTTTTATATGTATTCCTTCCTGCGTATAATTCCCGACTACCTGGACAAAATCTCCGCTTCACCATTACTTTTCTCCCAGGACAGCACCTCCAGCTTCACCATTACTGTCTCCCAGGACAGCACCTCCAGCTTCACCATTACTGTCTCCCAGGACAGCACCTCCAGCTTCACCCATTACTGTCTCCAGGACAGCACCTCCAGCTTCACCATTACTGTCTCCCAGGACAGCACATCAGCCCCACATTTACTGACAAACCGGGGACATCCCCTCCACCCTTTACAGTTTCTGACTACATGACCAGTATCAAGGGCGGTCCCATTCAGCCCAGACTTTTTATGTTCCCATCTGTTGTAGAAAGCTTCAGGTTGTCTATGAAAGCAGCTTTGATGTTGTCTCTTTTAATACCCTTGTGATTTTAGTCCACAGATTTTCCTCTTTTGGGGCATACCCAAAAACACCCTGTTTTAATACTGCTTGTAGCTAGTTCTTGGATATCTGCACAAGGGGCGTGACACCAATTTCCACAAAAATGACAATTTATCCATGTGGAAGCCCGTTTGTTTGATTTACTGCAGACTATACAGAGCTTCATAATGATTTGAGTGGTTGAATTACTGTAATTCTACTAGCAACCTCTTGAATACTCTATTAATAACCTCCTTAAATGAAGCTCTAGCTATTTGTATTTCTATTTCTAACTAATTGGACAGCTTACCATGTACGTTCCTGATTTATATTTATTGTTTGTTTGATAAGGGTGCCTACAACTCCATCCGTTTACAGTCTGCTCTATTGTCCAACGAAACCGTTTGAAACCAGTCAAGGGTTCGGACCATCAAAGGGTTCGGGGCCAGTCAAGGGTTCGGACCATCAAGGGTTCGGACCAGTAGAGGGTTCGGGCCAGTCGATCTGATCTGATTTAGTGGGTCACTTATTTAAAACACTTTGTCGGTGATTTGGGGCCCAACACATGAAGGATCTACTTGAAATTATCTACCCGAGTAATATGTGATTTGATTGATACAAAAGTATAACTTGCGTGTTGAAGAGCCGGTGATTTCTGGCAGCTCCTACAGTGACGAACGGTCGAGCCTCAACCCTTGTTTATCAATCGTTGTATCTAGCTTTTCTAGTTTTTTTCGTCTCCACCACAATAAATGCTATATTATCACTATAGTTGACTGGCGGAAATTTTGGAGAAAGGACGCTTTTTCTGTAGTAATAATTGCTTCTCGTTGTGTATATTGCGACCGCTGGTAACTACAGGTTATATGAAATTCACAGTATTTACCTGGAGTTTACCTGGAGAGAGTTCCGGGGGTCAACGCCTCCGCGGCCCGGTCTGTGACCAGGCCTCCTGGTGGATCAGAGCCTGATCAACAAGGCTGTTGCTGCTGGCTGCACGCAAACCAACGTACGAGCCACAGCCCGGCTGGTCAGGAACCGACTTTAGGTGCTTGTCCAGTGCCAGCTTGAAGACTGCCAGGGGTCTGTTGGTAATCCCCTTTATGTATGCTGGGAGGCAGTTGAACAGTCTCGGGCCCCTGACACTTATTGTATGGTCTCTTAACGTGCTAGTGACACCCCTGCTTTTCATTGGGGGATGTTGCATCGTCTGCCAAGTCTTTTGCTTTCGTAGTGAGTGATTTTCGTGTGCAAGTTCGGTACTAGTCCCTCTAGGATTTTCCAGGTGTATATAATCATGTATCTCTCCCGCCTGCGTTCCAGGGAATACAGGTTCAGGAACCTCAAGCGCTCCCAGTAATTGAGGTGTTTTATCTCCGTTATGCGCGCCGTGAAGGTTCTCTGTACATTTTCTAGGTCAGCAATTTCACCTGCCTTGAAAGGTGCTGTTAGTGTGCAGCAATATTCCAGCCTAGATAGAACAAGTGACCTGAAGAGTGTCATCATAAGCTTGGCCTCCCTAGTTTTGAAGGTTCTGGTATTTCAAGAAAAAAAGAAACTAATGAAAGTCACTTCACTCCACTAAGTACCATTATGATACTGGTTAGTTGCTACTACAACACTGTATTCTGCTATTCACTGATATCACTAGATTATATGCAAGTACACTAGCAGGCCAGGAAGATTATTAAAACAGCTGACCTGTGGTAAGTTTCTGGCGACTTCTGGCACCTGCCTCTATAGGCTTATCACTTCATTTACAAATTCACCTGTTTTCAAATGACACTTTAGCCTTCATCATCTATATACTAGGGAGCCACTGTAGTATACACTATGTATACACAATGTTATCAGGGAGACTTTTTTTCCTCTGACAAAGAAAAGTTCTATTATTATTATTTTGCACACGGAACACAGGCCTGTGATTCCCCTCTGGCAGTAAACTCTGCTAGGTAGTGCACACTAATTCTCCTTTTTTGACTCAGTATATAATGTTTTCCGCCCAAGATTGGTTCCAGGCGCTAGAGGGATGTATCGTATAGGATTGATGGCACAAATTAAAGTTCTAGCATGTAAGAGCGACCGTGAAAACACGAGAAAACCCGGAGCACAACGAGGCACGCTGCACTGTATTTTTTGTTAACATTTTTGGGTGTCTGGAACAGATTAATTGTTTTTACATTACAGTGGACCCCCAGTTTATGATATTATTTCATTCCAGAAGTATGTTCAGGTGCCAGTACTGAACGAATTTGTTCCCATAAGGTATATTGTGAATTAGATTAGTCAATTTCAGACCCCCAAACATACACGTACAAACGCACTTACATAACTGGTCGCACTGGGAGCTGATCGTAAAGCGGGGGTCCACTGTATTTCTTATGGGAAATATTGCTTCGGCTTTTGGCCATTTCGGATTAAGGCCACCCTTCTGGAACAGATTACGGCCGATAACTGGGAGTCCACTGTATATCAGAACCGATTTTCCTTATTTTATTTATAACAATGTACAATACACTACTGTATAAACATTTAAAAATAGTAGTATACTAAAAATGTTATAAGTGGTGCAAAGGTGACATTAAAACAATATCAAAGATGGTTGACACAAACCCACTATAGTATGCCCTTTGCTTAGCAATGAATTTGTTTACTGATGTGGTCTTAGGAACGGAACTCAGTCGTTGAGTGAGGAGAGGTTGTACTTGATACTGTTATTTTTTATACGCTACATCACAACTATAAATTTTATTACTGTAAAACATTAGCAACCTCACTGTTGTAATAAGTAAAATAATGTATGTATAATTAAAATTTACCACTCTTTACCTGTCCAGTCTTAAGTAGTCTGTAAGCATTAGGATTAGTCTCCCCGAAATGCCTTGGCATGTTAATAACTTTTTTGTACCTAACAACACATTATAAAATGTAATCGCACACTGTAACATTTGCAAATAAACAAATTCTGTCTTTGTCTATGATGATCCACCACTGGAGCATTAGGTCATCTGACTGAGGCCATCTGTTTGGTCCACCCATTTAAAATAAAGGTTATAATTGTATGACCATTCCAGTATATATACCTGACATTAATTAGAATAAATTTAAAGCAAAGACAACAATGAATAAGTGTTTGCAATAAAATTAACAGAAATCTTTGCTTCATATAAAGAAGTATAAATAATAGAAGTCCTAAGGCACACTTCAATTTTACATATTTTTGGTTAAACCTGGTTTAGATTATGCTGATCGGTTCTGGTCTCCACATTAGAAAATTAACATAACTGGATTGGAAATTATACAGAAAAGAATGACGAAGCTGATTCCATGATTTAGACTAAGTCCTAAGAAAATAGGCTAAAGGCATAGGGTAATGTAGTTACTGATTACTTACTGAAATAAGTAATCAATTCTCGTACAAATTATTATTTTAGGAAATAAAAGGAACATGAATGCATTTAGGGAAGGCAGCACAGGTGTGTCTTGCTGCTCAGGTGGAATTTACAATTTAAATTACAAAACCTAACTAAACGTAACATAACCTAACCTTAACTACATGGTGTCCTGTGGCTTGGTAAACAACACCCTCGCTTCACACACTGTGTGTCCGTGGTTTGATTCCCAGCAAGGTTGGAAACATTGGACGTGTTTCCTTAAGACACCTGCTGTCCCTGTTCACCTGTCAGAAAAATAGGTATCTGGGTACTGGTTGACTGGTGTGGGTCGCATTCTGGGAACAAAATTGACCTAATTTACCCGAAATGCTCTGCATAATAAGGGGCTTTCTATATAGTAGTAAGTCATTGATGTCAGCTAGGCCTGTATACCTTGTACATGTACTTGTAGATATAAAGATTATTATTATTAATATAACCTAACCTAACCACACCCACCCCAATCCAACTACTTTTAGTTAATATCTCCCTAAATAAAAATTTGCAAAAAACTTATTCCATAATGTACAGTTTATATGTATTGAAAATTCCCTCTGAATAGTTGTTGGTAACTTTAGCCTGACACAGACTTAGGGAAGACATAATAAAAGTATACAAATGGACAACAGGAGTACATAAAGGGGATGTAAGTAAATATCACTTTGAAAACATCTAAGCAAGACATGACTTGCAGCAATGGATTCAACTTTGAAAAATTTAGATTTAGAAAGGATACCGAGGAATATTGGTTTGGCAATAAGTTGAGGATGGGTGGAACAAATTCCCAGCTAATGACATTGAGGCAAGTGCTTTGGGTAGCTTTAAACAGGTTAGATGGGTACATGAGTAGATGTGAATCAGACTTGCCTAGCATAATAATAATAATAATAATAATAATAATAATAATAATAATAATAATAATAATAATAATAATAATAATAATAATATTTATTTACTACAAGTACATGTACAAGGTATACAGTCCTAACTAACATTAATGATATACATGTACTACTATATAGACAGCCCCTTGTTATGCAGAGCATTTAGGGCAAATTAGGTCAGTTTTGTCCCAGGATGCGACCCCCGGAACTCTCTCCAGGTAAACTCCAGGTAAACACCAGTCGACTAACACCTATTTTAACTGATGGGTGAACAGGGATAAGAGTGTTCTTTCATTCTGTGTAATCGTCCCTCAGCCTTGATAGCCTAAAGGTAAGAGATTGACTATCTTCTATTATGGCTGTGGGAACGATTATCTCAAAACTAAAGGACCCCAATGGAAATATGTCACTCTGACTTTCTTGGGTTATCCTAGGTAATTTACACATGCTATATATGATAATTTATGTAAGTATTTGTACTTACCTATATGTGGTTGCAGGGGTCGAGTCAGCTCCTAGCTATGACTCGACTGTGACTGTGACTATGACTGTGTATATATGCATATATACCCTTAGTGATATTAATAAAGAGTATATCAATAAAAAATAAATATACCGGATAAAAATCAAATTATGAATATTTTAACAAATATTACCTATTTATAATGCATAATAACTTAAGTAAATACCCAATTTAGATATAAATATATGCGTTATAATTTCATTTCATACAATAATTATAGCTTTCTGTGTTATTGTAGATTTATACACTAGTGGGGTGACATCAAGTGAATATAAAAGTATATTATACTAATAATTTATTTATTTATTTATTTATTTATTTATTTATTTCCAATTTGTGCACACATACAGAGGTACAAAAAAAATACAGATAAGAGCAGTATGCCAAAGCCACTTATACTATGCATAGCATTACGGGCTGGCTTAAAATTAACTTAAGATTAACTAAGCAATGATTATTATTATTATTATAATCAAAAAGAAGCGCTAAGCCACAAGGACTATACAGCGCTGCTACTAAGCAATGATGAAATCAGTGATAAAACATTAATCGTACCTGAAGCCATCCTGTGAGAGTTTAAGAATTAGTTGAGCAAGACAGCAAGGAGAGACAACCAGACTTGAACCATTTATATCACAAGCTGAAGTAAACTTGAAAGTTTGTAGTCACATGATGACTCAAACAACTACATCCAGCTACTGATAACACTGACCCACTCTCACGGAAACTGACGCATGCACTGAAAATTGAACATAGTAAATACACACAACACAGTATGTATGTATGTACTCACCTAGTTGTGGTTGCAAGGGTCGATTCATAGCTCCTGGCCCCGCCTCTTTACTGGTCGCTACTGGGTCACTCCCTGAACCATGAGCCTTATCATACCTCTGCCTTAAAACTTGGAAAATTATGTATGTATGTATGTATATGTCGTGCCGAAGAGGTAAAACTGGTCAATTAGCAAGATTTTATTTTGTGAAAATTTGTCTGGACTGCCTCCAAGTGAGTCGCCTACCCTGGCAAACTCTGTTGACACCGAGCTCTGAGGTCGGTACCTCAGCCTCACAGGTGGCTTATAGGACAGATTTTCATAAATGATTGATGTTGCAAGAAACTCGCCTGCATGCACGTATAAAGGGCTAACTTACTTGGTGTTGCAGCATATATCCTGACCTTCAACCTCCCGGTGGTCTGGTGGCTAAAGCTCCCGCTTCACACACGGAGGGCCCGGGTTCGATTCCCGGCGGGTGGAAATTCCGACACGTTTCCTTACACCTATTGTCCTGTTCACCTAGCAGCAAATAGGTACCTGGGTGTTAGTTGACTGGTGTGGGTCGCATCCTGGGGGACAAGATTAAGGACCCCAATGGAAATAAGTTAGACAGTCTTCGATGACGCACTGACTTTCTTGGGTTATCCTGGGTGGCTAACCCCCCGGGGTTAAAAATCCGAACAAAATCTTATCTTATCTCTTATCTAAGCTTAGCCTCTTTGGACTTCCCCTCAGAAACCACTTGCAACCGGGAGCCTTAATTCTGGGCATGCACTGCCAGCTGCACAAAGGCCCACAGTTCAACTCACTCACAATTTCCCCAGACACTGGCCAGAAATCTAAGATAAAGTGGAGGTCTTGCCTTACTGTATGGGCCTGACGGAGGAGGTCATCTACGGTACATCGAGGTGCCTCTACCAAATTTCCCCAGGTCTCAGATGAGAAGACACGTGGGGGGCGCCGTCTGCTGATCACTGCACGTGTTGTCCAGTTGGTGTCTGTCTAAAGAAGAACGAGCTGGTCTCTTCCAGACCCGCACTTCGTCATTCAAACTAGGGCTGCCAGTTCTCCCTAGCTAACTTAACCTAGTGTTTGACTACATTATCGGCCTATTACTACCTATGTTAAGGTCTTAGGTCTACATTATTATTATCTACAGTTGCCTTAATAATCCTAATATTAATATACTAACAGTAAAACTACCTACTTCTCCCCTGAAGGGTAAATCTATAAATTAAGTAGTACCTCTCATTCACATTCGACAATCTGGGAGAGAATGTTGGTGTTTGGGGTTGGGTGTAAGGGCCACCCAGCTCAGCCGTTCCATAACGGCCATGCTGGGACCCCTTTGTACGCCGTATCTATCCTGTGGAACTTTAGGGACCAAATAAATTTCCACATCCTCCTGCCGGCGAAGGTAGGCGCTAAGTCTAAATCAAGTTCACCTTCCGCGAGCCCCCACGGCGGACCCTGGACACGAGTGCTGTCTGGCCACTCTCGTCGAGCAGACTCCGGTCTAACTTCAACCATCCAGTTTTCCCTGTGTGGACCTCTGGGGGTGTAAACTTGTTGGTTCCGGTGGTCTTAGCACCCTTTCCTTTAACTTTAACATCTTTCGTATGTCTAGCCTTGACTGAGTGGCTCCGTACTTTCCCACCCAGTGGCCCGCATGCCCTGGTAGCCTTTCCTCCCACTGATACGAGGTTCCCTGGATTTAATGGCAATCTATCTCCCTCTTTACGTACCCTGTAGAAGTGTTTTCCCAAGGTGGCCGAGTGTTTGTCACTCCCTACCTGATTCAGCTTCCCTGGCGGTTCATCGTGTATACTGGTATTCATTATCACTACTCCCCCAGCTATCATGGGGACAGCTTCTCCTCTATCTGGCGTGGCAGGGAATTCAGGTGGAATCCTGCCACCTATGATGTATCCTACTGGGGATCTGTATAAACCAATTCCTTCCCTAAACGTCCATCGTGTAGACAGGAAGTCATCTATATGATTGGCTCCCACCAGGATACCTACATTTCTGACCATGTCAGTGGTAATTCCCTGGTCTGCCAGCTTCACGTCAAGGTCTTTCAATCGCTTAGCTGCTGCAGCAAGACCTCTCGCTGTAATTGCCCTGGGTAACGTCTCTACCACCAAGGCTGTAATGTCTCTGCGATGTCCACCTAATTTGACTGTGACATCCACCACATCATAAGATTTGGGTGGGGCCTGACTTATAGCCCCTCCCAACCTCATACTAACTTTCCTTGTGGCCTTCAACTTTAATTTAGCCACCAACTAATTTGTTATCAAGGATACTTGTGCTCTTCTGCATCAAAGAATAATCAGGTTGTTTCGGACCTGTGCCCATTCACAACCTTTGCCATGACTGTAGGTAGGGCAGTACCTCGGTGATTCTCACTCGGATTAGAGACTTCACTCCCACTAATCGCGCTGGCTACCATTTCAGGCTCAGACTCACTTTCTATCTCTACCTGAGAGATATCCCTACTAGCCTGGGGTTCCCTTAAATTATTGAGACATAGTGCAGTATGGTGCTTACCTTTGCAACAGACTCGACACTCACTGAGCTGGGTGCCACAGTCTCTCGCAAAGTGTTCCCCACAACACTTGAAGCAGAGTCTCAACTCCCTTAGTCTCTGTTGCCTACTGCTCAGTGTTATATACTCCGAGCAACTCACTCGTGCTAGAGTGTTCGCCTTCGCAGAACACGCATATTCTGGCATGAGTGCCTCTGAGGTTCTGCTTAGAGGTTCTTACCTTAGACACTTCTTTACCATAGTACACTCCAACGTTAGTCGTACGAGCTTTAGACTGATCTCTCGAGATCTTAGAGTAACTGTCTGGGTTTTTATGTGGTGATGGTGGTGACTCTTCTCTCACACCTACACTCAAATGAGAAACGAGATCTCCCAACCCTCAACAATTTGTTGTATCGTGAACCTATTCGTCCGATATTTTAAGTGTAACTCATGCACAGTAGTGCCAGCCAGTTTCCTCTGAATCACCTGACTGATGAACCATTCTGACTTACCCCAATCATGTAAATCTTTAAGACTATTTGTCAAACTCATAACTTCGATTCGGAACTTCTCTAGGCTCTGACGGTCATGGCGACAAGCCTCTAGATCCAACAACCGATAAAGTATAGCTACCTTTATCTCCTCAGTATTGCCAAACATGTCCTTTAATTGGTATTTGGCATGTTGGTAATTAGTGTCAGTGGTTTAGTAATGCCGGACCAAGTCCAAGGCTTTACCCTTGAGTTGTGAACATAAGTACTGTAATTTGACGGCATCTGACAAATCGTCTCTGTCATCTATCTGGGCTTTAAACTGATCCCAGAAAGCAATGTACTCTGTTAAAGTTCCGTCGAACGTTGGTAAATTCAACTGGTAAATTCAACCAAGTAAACCAAGTCCTAACCGATATAAGCTGGGAAGATATACTAAGCAACACAGACCCCAACTTATGCCTAGAACAGATTAACTTGGTGGCACTCGATGTATGCACAAGGCTTATTCCTCTAAGAATAAGGAGGAGTAGATGTAAAATAGAGACAGGCGCTCCCTTTACAGGCGACGGAAAAGAAAAACAGAGCGGCTGAAAAAGGTCAATATATCTGAAATGCGTAGGGAGACACTGGTCAGAGAAATAGCAAACATCGAACTCAAGCTAAAGGAATCTTATAGGAGTCAGGAATCGCGGGAAGAACTAAAAGCCATAAATGAAATCGAAAGAAACCCAAAGTATTTCTTCTCCTGTGCCAAATCAAAGTCGAGAACAACGTCCAGTATTGGGCCCCTACTTAAAGAAGATGGGTCCTACACAGATGACAGCAAGGAAATGAGTGAGCTACTCAAGTCCCAATATGACTCAGTTTTTAGCAAGCCGCTAACCAGACTGAGAGTCGAAGATCAAAATGAATTTTTTATGAGAGAGCCACAAAATTTGGTTAACACAAGCCTATCCGATGTTATCCTGACGCCAAATGACTTCGAACAGGCGGATAAATGACATGCCCATGCACTCTGCCCCAGGGCCAGACTCATGGAACTCCGTGTTCATCAAGAACTGCAAGAAGCCCCTATCACGAGCATTTTCCATCCTATGGAGAGGGAGCATGGACACGGGGGTCATCCCACAGTTACTAAAAACAACAGACATAGCCCCACTCCACAAAGGGGGCAATAAAGCAACAGCAAAGAACTACAGACCGATAGCACTAACATCCCATATCATAAAAATCTTTGAAAGGGTCCTAAGAAGCAAGATCACCACCCATCTAGAAACCCATCAGTTACACAACCCAGGGCAACATGGGTTTAGAACAGGTCGCTCCTGTCTGTCTCAACTATTGGATCACTACGACAACCTGGAGTTTACCTGGAGAGAGTTCCGGGGGTCAACGCCCTCGCGGCCCGGTCTGTGACCAGGCCTCCTGGTGGATCAGAGCCTGATCAACCAGGCTGTTGCTGCTGGCTGCACTCAAACCAACGTACGAGCCACAGCCCAGCTGGTCAGGAACCGACTTTAGGTGCTTGTCCAGTGCCAGCTTGAAGTCTGCCAGGGGTCTGTTGGTAATCCCCCTTATGTATGCTGGGAGGCAGTTGAACAGTCTCGGGCCCCTGACACTTATTGTATGGTCTCCTAACGTGCTAGTGACACCCCTGCTTTTCATTGGGGGGATGCTGCATCGTCTGCCAAGTCTTTTGCTTTCGTAGTGAGTGATTTTCGTGTGCAAGTTCGGTACTAGTCCCCCTAGGATTTTCCAGGTGTATATAATCATGTATCTCTCCCGCCTGCATTCCATAAGAACATAAGAAAGGAGGAACACTGCAGGAGGCCTGCTGGCCCATATTAGGCAGGTCCTTTACAATTCATCCCACTAACAAAACATTTGCCCAACCCAATTTTCAATGCCACCCAAGAAATAAGCTCTGATGTGAAAGTCCCACTGAAATCC